AAGGTCTATATATCACTTTCTTACTTAAGGTATATATACTATATCTTTGATTTTATCCAAAGTACGATAGAACTGTCCATATATATGTGTGTGTATATATATATATATATATATATATATATATATATATATATATATATGGTGATTACTTTGGTGCACTCACAAAAATGATTGCATTCAATGCACCCAACTCAAAAACTAGTTTTAAGCTATCGAATTTTGAATTTTAATTTGTAGAATTAGTGTAATATGATTGTATAACATATGCTAACAACTAATTAGCTGATTACCCAAAGCTCTAGACTTCCAATTTTGAGTTCTATCCCTAAACCCCAAACTGTAAACCCTAACCCTAAATCTCTAAACTTTAAATCCTTCAAATTAAAGTAAATCTTTAATGGTTATTGTCCAAATTCATGTGCGTTATTGTTGATCACATCATAAGTGATGATTGACATCATTTTGACATAAATCGCATGTTTAAAATGACGGTTATGAAGCGTGTGCACTGAATGCACCCAAAAGAGTGAGTGCACCGAAGACGTCGCTATATATATATATATATATATATATATATATATATATATATATATATATATATATATATGTATATATGGTTCAGGCTAGCGTACACCTCATTGAGTTTTGCTATATAGATCATGAATTAACCGGAGTTTGGGGCATGATACTATACCCTAACCTCTAATGGGTGAACCCCAGTCCCTAATTTTCTCACCCAAATCATGAGATTCGTTTAATCTTAAAATGAAAATCAATGAAAATTTCGATGAATCAGAATCGTTGATTTTCATTTTTAAGATTAAACGAATCTCATGCTTTGGGTTACTGAATTGGGGGCTGGGATTCACCCATTAGGGGTTATGGTATAGTATCTTGTCCCAAATTCCGATTAATTCTTTGTCTAAATAGCAAAACTCAAGGGGGCATACGGTAGACTAGCGTACGCTCGCATTCACACTTGTTATATGTACTTTGCTATATTTCGATAAATCATAACAGCTGGTTTAATTTTTTAGGATAATTGAATTTTAGAATTTGAGTTAGAGAATTAGGGACGTGGTTTACACATTATAAGTTAGGGTATATAATTATGGGGCAAACTTCTTTTAATTCGTAATCTAAATAATTAAAATTGACGAATGTACGATGTAATCTAAATGCAGACCTATGCTAACATGAACCGTACACTAAGCCTACATAAAGTCATAAACACAGCCCAATGACATGTATTATACGTAGAGAACCAGCCCAGTTCACAAATGTACGGTGGGCCTTCAACAGGCAGTTCCCACTTCCCATTTAGTAGCCTTTTTGGCTTTTTATATGATTCTCTGTTGTACTTGTTCGGTTCTTCCTCTATTATTGTTGCTTTCCTCCTTCTTTCCCTTCACTCGTTTCCGCTCCTATTTCCCCTGAGCCGTGCCACAGTGCCACTCATTGCTTGTGACTTGTGAGTCCGGGGGCGTAATGACCTAACTAACCAGATGTTACAATCAATTTAGTCTCGACAAAAACATGCGCCATTTTGTGGGCAACTGTCTAAGCTTCTCGAGGGAAAAATCCCCGGCTTCTATTGTCTTGGTCATCCAGCATATGAATCAGATTTTTGCAAAACCTCTCAAGCAAAGAATAGGACCTTGAATGGTTTGGTTTTGAGAGAAAAAAAAAAGAAAAAGAAAAATGTTTATCACAAAAACACAAGATTCTCTTGGTTCTACAAATATGCTTACATGGATCATTCACCAATCACCACAGAATGGAGGGCTAATTTAAATAATAAGTCACTACCCTGGCTAATTACAAACAATACTCTTTACACGAAGAACTCAGACGGGGAAGAAAAAGTGAGAGAATCGTAATATACACAAAATCTCTAGCTTAGCAAGTGATTCCGGATTCGTAAATATTGGGATGCATACTATAAATTATTAATTGTATAAAAAATCACAGATTATTGATACAGTCTTACTAGCTTGCTATGAACTTATTATAAATGTTAGTCAACTTTCTTAATGGCTAGTTGGAGAATTGTTTTTGCGGGTTGACCCACGACCCAACCGCACCCATCCGCCACCCACCCAACCTAACCCGCAGAGGTATATAGGTGGGTTGCGGGTCACAATTATTCCAGCTCGCTAGTAAGCGGGTGGGTCAATTTGAGATCAAACCCACCCAACCCGCCCATTGCCCACCCCTATCCGTACCCACTGAAAATCCTTCGGGTTCGAGTTTTATTCTATCCGATTAGGTCGGATTCAGACTCATTCCAGTTATTTTTGCCATACGTTTTTTAGCACTGGGATGATGGTCGTTTTCTTGGTTTATTTACAAAACTAGTCATTTGGCCAAATATGAATATTTCAATATATATCAACACCTGACAACATAGATATTTTCAAATGTAATTTGTTAAAAAATTCATATAAGTCATTTTAAAATATTACCATTTTCCCTTCATGCAATATGTTAAATATTCTATCATAATAAAACCAACCATACAAACAAAATTCATTTTGCAACCAATATATACATTGTTAGGATATGACTTGAATTTGATTTGAGTTTGTTTTGTGTTTTGGGCCTATTTTGCTTGGGTTTGTGTTTGAGCTTTGTTTGACCTTTTCCTTGTATATTTGGAAAAGGTGTTTCGTTTTCTGTTTGGGATTAGGAGAAGAGTTCTATAAATATTCTTCATCACCCTAGCCTGTAGTAAGGTAAGTCAGGTTAGTTAGTTTGGTTTGTCTGCTCCGGAATTTGGTTTGTAACCTGTACTCTCCTCAAAATCAGTGAAATTTGTTCTCCCCTGCCCGTAGATTAGCTAACACACATTGTATTAGTGAACCACGTTAAATTTGTGTTCGTTTGTGTTGCTTTGGATTATTGATTGCACGATTCCGTTCTGAAAAGTAGTATCAGAGCCTTTGGTTGCGCTTTTGGGAATTCGGCGCTGGACTGAAGTTTTGCTTTGTGGAGTTTGGTTGGAGTTTGTTTGATAGTAAGAATGGCTGCTGTCAGTATGAAGATTCAAAAATTTACCGGAAGAAAAAGTTTCAGTTTGTGGCAGATCAAGATGCAAGCACTGTTGAAACAACAGGGTTTGTGGGCTCCGTTCTCTGGAAAATCGAAGAAGGAAAGTATAGATGAAGAAGAGTGGATTACTTTGGAGGAGAAAGCTCACTCTACAATCTTGCTTTGTTTGGTTGATGACATCATCACTGAGGTTGCTGATGAAAAGACTGTCGCGGGCTTGTGGTTGAAGCTTGAAAGTCTATACATGACAAAGTCTTTTACCAATAAGTTGCATATGAAGCAACGTTTGTTCAGTTTGCATATGGAGGAAGGTATGTCTCTTAGGAATCATCTAGATCAACTCAATACTATCTTGTTAGATCTGCGGAATATTGATGTTAAAATAGGTGATGAAGATGCTGCTTTAATTCTGTTAGTATCTTTGCCACAGTCATATGAGAATTTTGTGGATTCTTGTATTGCTGGGAAAGATAGTTTGTTTTTGGAAGATGTCATATCTGCTCTACATACTAGGGAGGTTCGACATAAGGCGTCTGGTTCAGGTTTGCAAAATTAGGCATCTGGGTTGTCTGCTACGAGTAGTAGGAGACAACAATACGGTAATAAGAAGGCGAATATAAATTCAAATTCTGTTGGTTTGAAGGATGATATCTGTCATTACTATAAGGAGAAAGGGCATTGGAAATTTGATTGTCCTATGCTAAAGAAATATCAGGAGAAGAAGGAATCATCTGCTGCTGTGGCGGAAGAAACTAACTATGATTCTGAAGATGGTTTAGCCTTAACAGTGAATGAACATGTACATCATCAGGATGTGTGGTATTTAGATACTGCAGCTGATTATCATATGTGTCCAATTAGGGAGTGTTTTTCAACTTATGAGCAGATAGATAGAGGACATGTTTCTATGGCCAATGGTGCTATCTGTAAGATTGTTGGAAGAGGCTCCGTCAGGATGTAGACACATGATGGTTCTGTTCGCACCTTGAACAATGTTATACATATTCCAGAGATGACTAAGAATCTGATATCTTTGACTCTTCTAGACAACAAGGGTTTCAGTTTCAAAGGTGAAGGTGGAGTGTTGTCTGTCTATAAGGGTTCTAAGGTGATTTTGAAAGGTGTCAAATAGGGTGCCTTGTATAGTCTACAAGGTTCTGTTTTGACATGTTATGTTGGTGATAAGTGCACCAAGCTTGTTTTGAATGGCAAGTCTGAGCATGGGTTGGACTTGCCAATTGGTTTGAGTTGTTGACCGCCCTTAGGGGCATTTGGAGGCAGGGGAGATTCTGGTACAACTGATTTGGAATATCGATTGCACGCTTCTGTTCTGACATACATAATATTTGTGTATTAGACAAATATAATTGTATGTTAACTTTCTTTACAAAGTGTAGAGGTTCCAAAGTATATCATTTTACAGTGACACATAATTTATATTTGAAATCGGTCTCCAAAATAGTAATGACTATTTCATAAATTCAATACTAACCATTCTTTACTTTATCTTCGTAAATCCAATATTTTTCAATAAGATTTTTCAATAATAGAATTATGAGAGACAAACATGATGAGGTTCTTAATAGTTCAAGCAAATCTGGTTCTAGCGTCAAAAGAAGCAGATTAAGTTCCACCACGAGCTCGTCTTTTACAATCTATCAAGGAGACAACTGTAGATAAATGTTCGTAGGGAATCTTTTCACATAAGAAAACTATGGAGATTGAATGGGTGACAAAATATATTTTCACATAATAAAGAGCAAGCTCGAAATCAATCAATCGTCATCATACTCATAATCAATCAATCATATACTAAAAATACAATCTACAATGTACGATCGGTAACTGACGGATCTAAGTGGAGGCCCCTAATATTCGGAGGCACTGTGCCGGAGGGCGGACCAGCACACCCTCTAGGCCGGCCCTGGGTACAGCAGCTTCAGAAGTTCAACCGAGTCGGCAATCTCAATGCCCACGTTGCTCGTCGCTTCCATCTCTGACAGCTCCTTCAGTCGCCTCACAATGGAGCAATTCAGCCTAGTTTTGAGCTCTGTTTTCAGGGCCTCTGTTCTGCACTGCTCGTAGTCTCTCCGAGCCGCCGCTAAGTCCACCCGCCTCGACTCTGCATCTAGCCAATAATACAATTGTCACAGTCAGATAACTTGTCAAAACAAAATTCCGCTCGTTAACGACTGTAGAAGAAGAGTAGTAATGAAAACTCACGACGACGAGAAGGATGTGATGGAGATTTGAACTTGGCGGAGTTGTTGTGGTTGGCAGAGTCTCTAGTGGATGGTGGAAGAGGTGGAGGAGCGACAAAGGTAGAAATAGAAGGAAAGTGGAGAGTGGGTTCGTCGTCGATGTCGAAGGTGTCTCCTGTTGAGTGGGCTGCTGCAGATTTGGAGAGGGCGTAGGCTGAAAAAGAATTCTGGTGGCCGGCCGGCGTAGTTTCGGAAAAGGAGGAGGAGGAGGAGGAGGAGTTGTGTGTCTTCATTTTTCGCTGTTGGCGGTCGTTTGTGGTGCTGGAGGCAGGGGAGGAGAGGAGTCTTTCCTTGTTTGTAAAACAGAGTTTGAGTTTTGGTGTGTCATGGAATAGGGTGGTTCTGCGTGCTACGCAAGAAAATTTAAGAGGGCGGTTTATTGAAAAAAAAGCGGCTAAAGAAAATGAAACGTGTGGCTAGCTACTCATCGCTATCAGACGGTTTCTTTTTTCCCTAGCATGGAGCAGTTTATTTGCTCGAAGTGAATGTTGGGTTTGTCACCCACAATCAAATATTCAAATGGTTTGATGAAATCAACTATTTCGCAGCATAATAAATAGGCTATCAAATTTTACCAAATGTAAGATAGCCTAATGTTAAAGCTGCCGCGACAGTGAACGTTTGAGTTGCAGATCCCAGATTTGAATCCAAGTAAGACCCATTATAAAAAAAATAGGGTATCAAATTTTTGTGAGACTAAAAATTGGAAAGCGCACCTCAATGGGTGGATTTCGACAAATTCTCTATGTTCAAAGACTATTATACACTAAACATTGAAAACTCTGTTTTGCTCTTTGTTTTTTGGATGATAATGGATAGGTCGAGAGCGGATAGTGCATATTTGTTATTTTACCTAAAGCAATTCGATTTTTACCTTTATCCATTCCCACATAAGAATCAGGTAGAAAATCAAACTGATGCACATGCCCGTTCGGATATCGAGTATCGACAGTTATCCATGGATAATAATTTTTTCATAACTCCAACTAGCATGTTAACATTCATACACATACTCACATTATATAAGTGAAAAGTACGACAATAAATCACTAGATTGAAGAAAATTAATTAAAAACAACATGATTTTATGAAATTATTATATTTGCATGCTAAATATAAAATATGTTGAGAAAAATAATAATAATTTATAGACAAATACATATGAATGTATATAATCGGTCGAGTTTGGGTTGGATAATGCGAAAATCATGTTCACCCATTACCAGCATTATTCGGATTGGGGGTTTACCCGCACCTATGGGTGGTTAATTCGCGGATTGATATCGATTCGTCCGTAAATAACCCGACCCGCAAGCAATCGGTGATTGATGTGGGTAGATTACAGATTGATAAATTTTCCACCCGCACTTATGTGGATGGGTGGTGGGTGGATTATGGGTCACTCGTATGACCCCGCATCCTATTTTTACATGAAAAAATATTGTTTCTTATAGTATCAAATATGTATAATATTTTCGAAATGCACTACAGTCTGACCATATACTTCAAAAGGTGGAGAATAAAGAATAGTTTTGACTACTATTATTGATTTTGTGTTGTGCAATATCTCTATTAGATATAGGATATTGGTATGCAAATTATTGTTAATATTAATTAAATATTGGGATGCATACTATAAATTATTAATTGTATAAAAAATCACAGATTATTGATACAGTCTTACTAGCTTGCTATGAACTTATTATAAATGTTAGTCAACTTTCTTAATGGCTAGTTGGAGAATTGTTTTTGCGGGTTGACCCACGACCCAACCGCACCCATCCGCCACCCACCCAACCTAACCCGCAGAGGTATATAGGTGGGTTGCGGGTCACAATTATTCCAGCTCGCTAGTAAGCGGGTGGGTCAATTTGAGATCAAACCCACCCAACCCGCCCATTGCCCACCCCTATCCGTACCCACTGAAAATCCTTCGGGTTCGAGTTTTATTCTATCCGATTAGGTCGGATTCAGACTCATTCCAGTTATTTTTGCCATACGTTTTTTAGCACTGGGATGATGGTCGTTTTCTTGGTTTATTTACAAAACTAGTCATTTGGCCAAATATGAATATTTCAATATATATCAACACCTGACAACATAGATATTTTCAAATGTAATTTGTTAAAAAATTCATATAAGTCATTTTAAAATATTACCATTTTCCCTTCATGCAATATGTTAAATATTCTATCATAATAAAACCAACCATACAAACAAAATTCATTTTGCAACCAATATATACATTGTTAGGATATGACTTGAATTTGATTTGAGTTTGTTTTGTGTTTTGGGCCTATTTTGCTTGGGTTTGTGTTTGAGCTTTGTTTGACCTTTTCCTTGTATATTTGGAAAAGGTGTTTCGTTTTCTGTTTGGGATTAGGAGAAGAGTTCTATAAATATTCTTCATCACCCTAGCCTGTAGTAAGGTAAGTCAGGTTAGTTAGTTTGGTTTGTCTGCTCCGGAATTTGGTTTGTAACCTGTACTCTCCTCAAAATCAGTGAAATTTGTTCTCCCCTGCCCGTAGATTAGCTAACACACATTGTATTAGTGAACCACGTTAAATTTGTGTTCGTTTGTGTTGCTTTGGATTATTGATTGCACGATTCCGTTCTGAAAAGTAGTATCAGAGCCTTTGGTTGCGCTTTTGGGAATTCGGCGCTGGACTGAAGTTTTGCTTTGTGGAGTTTGGTTGGAGTTTGTTTGATAGTAAGAATGGCTGCTGTCAGTATGAAGATTCAAAAATTTACCGGAAGAAAAAGTTTCAGTTTGTGGCAGATCAAGATGCAAGCACTGTTGAAACAACAGGGTTTGTGGGCTCCGTTCTCTGGAAAATCGAAGAAGGAAAGTATAGATGAAGAAGAGTGGATTACTTTGGAGGAGAAAGCTCACTCTACAATCTTGCTTTGTTTGGTTGATGACATCATCACTGAGGTTGCTGATGAAAAGACTGTCGCGGGCTTGTGGTTGAAGCTTGAAAGTCTATACATGACAAAGTCTTTTACCAATAAGTTGCATATGAAGCAACGTTTGTTCAGTTTGCATATGGAGGAAGGTATGTCTCTTAGGAATCATCTAGATCAACTCAATACTATCTTGTTAGATCTGCGGAATATTGATGTTAAAATAGGTGATGAAGATGCTGCTTTAATTCTGTTAGTATCTTTGCCACAGTCATATGAGAATTTTGTGGATTCTTGTATTGCTGGGAAAGATAGTTTGTTTTTGGAAGATGTCATGTCTGCTCTACATACTAGGGAGGTTCGACATAAGGCGTCTGGTTCAGGTTTGCAAAATTAGGCATCTGGGTTGTCTGCTACGAGTAGTAGGAGACAACAATACGGTAATAAGAAGGCGAATATAAATTCAAATTCTGTTGGTTTGAAGGATGATATCTGTCATTACTATAAGGAGAAAGGGCATTGGAAATTTGATTGTCCTATGCTAAAGAAATATCAGGAGAAGAAGGAATCATCTGCTGCTGTGGCGGAAGAAACTAACTATGATTCTGAAGATGGTTTAGCCTTAACAGTGAATGAACATGTACATCATCAGGATGTGTGGTATTTAGATACTGCAGCTGATTATCATATGTGTCCAATTAGGGAGTGTTTTTCAACTTATGAGCAGATAGATAGAGGACATGTTTCTATGGCCAATGGTGCTATCTGTAAGATTGTTGGAAGAGGCTCCGTCAGGATGTAGACACATGATGGTTCTGTTCGCACCTTGAACAATGTTATACATATTCCAGAGATGACTAAGAATCTGATATCTTTGACTCTTCTAGACAACAAGGGTTTCAGTTTCAAAGGTGAAGGTGGAGTGTTGTCTGTCTATAAGGGTTCTAAGGTGATTTTGAAAGGTGTCAAATAGGGTGCCTTGTATAGTCTACAAGGTTCTGTTTTGACATGTTATGTTGGTGATAAGTGCACCAAGCTTGTTTTGAATGGCAAGTCTGAGCATGGGTTGGACTTGCCAATTGGTTTGAGTTGTTGACCGCCCTTAGGGGCATTTGGAGGCAGGGGAGATTCTGGTACAACTGATTTGGAATATCGATTGCACGCTTCTGTTCTGACATACATAATATTTGTGTATTAGACAAATATAATTGTATGTTAACTTTCTTTACAAAGTGTAGAGGTTCCAAAGTATATCATTTTACAGTGACACATAATTTATATTTGAAATCGGTCTCCAAAATAGTAATGACTATTTCATAAATTCAATACTAACCATTCTTTACTTTATCTTCGTAAATCCAATATTTTTCAATAAGATTTTTCAATAATAGAATTATGAGAGACAAACATGATGAGGTTCTTAATAGTTCAAGCAAATCTGGTTCTAGCGTCAAAAGAAGCAGATTAAGTTCCACCACGAGCTCGTCTTTTACAATCTATCAAGGAGACAACTGTAGATAAATGTTCGTAGGGAATCTTTTCACATAAGAAAACTATGGAGATTGAATGGGTGACAAAATATATTTTCACATAATAAAGAGCAAGCTCGAAATCAATCAATCGTCATCATACTCATAATCAATCAATCATATACTAAAAATACAATCTACAATGTACGATCGGTAACTGACGGATCTAAGTGGAGGCCCCTAATATTCGGAGGCACTGTGCCGGAGGGCGGACCAGCACACCCTCTAGGCCGGCCCTGGGTACAGCAGCTTCAGAAGTTCAACCGAGTCGGCAATCTCAATGCCCACGTTGCTCGTCGCTTCCATCTCTGACAGCTCCTTCAGTCGCCTCACAATGGAGCAATTCAGCCTAGTTTTGAGCTCTGTTTTCAGGGCCTCTGTTCTGCACTGCTCGTAGTCTCTCCGAGCCGCCGCTAAGTCCACCCGCCTCGACTCTGCATCTAGCCAATAATACAATTGTCACAGTCAGATAACTTGTCAAAACAAAATTCCGCTCGTTAACGACTGTAGAAGAAGAGTAGTAATGAAAACTCACGACGACGAGAAGGATGTGATGGAGATTTGAACTTGGCGGAGTTGTTGTGGTTGGCAGAGTCTCTAGTGGATGGTGGAAGAGGTGGAGGAGCGACAAAGGTAGAAATAGAAGGAAAGTGGAGAGTGGGTTCGTCGTCGATGTCGAAGGTGTCTCCTGTTGAGTGGGCTGCTGCAGATTTGGAGAGGGCGTAGGCTGAAAAAGAATTCTGGTGGCCGGCCGGCGTAGTTTCGGAAAAGGAGGAGGAGGAGGAGGAGGAGTTGTGTGTCTTCATTTTTCGCTGTTGGCGGTCGTTTGTGGTGCTGGAGGCAGGGGAGGAGAGGAGTCTTTCCTTGTTTGTAAAACAGAGTTTGAGTTTTGGTGTGTCATGGAATAGGGTGGTTCTGCGTGCTACGCAAGAAAATTTAAGAGGGCGGTTTATTGAAAAAAACGCGGCTAAAGAAAATGAAACGTGTGGCTAGCTACTCATCGCTATCAGACGGTTTCTTTTTTCCCTAGCATGGAGCAGTTTATTTGCTCGAAGTGAATGTTGGGTTTGTCACCCACAATCAAATATTCAAATGGTTTGATGAAATCAACTATTTCGCAGCATAATAAATAGGCTATCAAATTTTACCAAATGTAAGATAGCCTAATGTTAAAGCTGCCGCGACAGTGAACGTTTGAGTTGCAGATCCCAGATTTGAATCCAAGTAAGACCCATTATAAAAAAAATAGGGTATCAAATTTTTGTGAGACTAAAAATTGGAAAGCGCACCTCAATGGGTGGATTTCGACAAATTCTCTATGTTCAAAGACTATTATACACTAAACATTGAAAACTCTGTTTTGCTCTTTGTTTTTTGGATGATAATGGATAGGTCGAGAGCGGATAGTGCATATTTGTTATTTTACCTAAAGCAATTCGATTTTTACCTTTATCCATTCCCACATAAGAATCAGGTAGAAAATCAAACTGATGCACATGCCCGTTCGGATATCGAGTATCGACAGTTATCCATGGATAATAATTTTTTCATAACTCCAACTAGCATGTTAACATTCATACACATACTCACATTATATAAGTGAAAAGTACGACAATAAATCACTAGATTGAAGAAAATTAATTAAAAACAACATGATTTTATGAAATTATTATATTTGCATGCTAAATATAAAATATGTTGAGAAAAATAATAATAATTTATAGACAAATACATATGAATGTATATAATCGGTCGAGTTTGGGTTGGATAATGCGAAAATCATGTTCACCCATTACCAGCATTATTCGGATTGGGGGTTTACCCGCACCTATGGGTGGTTAATTCGCGGATTGATATCGATTCGTCCGTAAATAACCCGACCCGCAAGCAATCGGTGATTGATGTGGGTAGATTACAGATTGATAAATTTTCCACCCGCACTTATGTGGATGGGTGGTGGGTGGATTATGGGTCACTCGTATGACCCCGCATCCTATTTTTACATGAAAAAATATTGTTTCTTATAGTATCAAATATGTATAATATTTTCGAAATGCACTACAGTCTGACCATATACTTCAAAAGGTGGAGAATAAAGAATAGTTTTGACTACTATTATTGATTTTGTGTTGTGCAATATCTCTATTAGATATAGGATATTGGTATGCAAATTATTGTTAATATTAATTAAATATTGGGATGCATACTATAAATTATTAATTGTATAAAAAATCACAGATTATTGATACAGTCTTACTAGCTTGCTATGAACTTATTATAAATGTTAGTCAACTTTCTTAATGGCTAGTTGGAGAATTGTTTTTGCGGGTTGACCCACGACCCAACCGCACCCATCCGCCACCCACCCAACCTAACCCGCAGAGGTATATAGGTGGGTTGCGGGTCACAATTATTCCAGCTCGCTAGTAAGCGGGTGGGTCAATTTGAGATCAAACCCACCCAACCCGCCCATTGCCCACCCCTATCCGTACCCACTGAAAATCCTTCGGGTTCGAGTTTTATTCTATCCGATTAGGTCGGATTCAGACTCATTCCAGTTATTTTTGCCATACGTTTTTTAGCACTGGGATGATGGTCGTTTTCTTGGTTTATTTACAAAACTAGTCATTTGGCCAAATATGAATATTTCAATATATATCAACACCTGACAACATAGATATTTTCAAATGTAATTTGTTAAAAAATTCATATAAGTCATTTTAAAATATTACCATTTTCCCTTCATGCAATATGTTAAATATTCTATCATAATAAAACCAACCATACAAACAAAATTCATTTTGCAACCAATATATACATTGTTAGGATATGACTTGAATTTGATTTGAGTTTGTTTTGTGTTTTGGGCCTATTTTGCTTGGGTTTGTGTTTGAGCTTTGTTTGACCTTTTCCTTGTATATTTGGAAAAGGTGTTTCGTTTTCTGTTTGGGATTAGGAGAAGAGTTCTATAAATATTCTTCATCACCCTAGCCTGTCGTAAGGTAAGTCAGGTTAGTTAGTTTGGTTTGTCTGCTCCGGAATTTGGTTTGTAACCTGTACTCTCCTCAAAATCAGTGAAATTTGTTCTCCCCTGCCCGTAGATTAGCTAACACACATTGTATTAGTGAACCACGTTAAATTTGTGTTCGTTTGTGTTGCTTTGGATTATTGATTGCACGATTCCGTTCTGAAAAGTAGTATCAGAGCCTTTGGTTGCGCTTTTGGGAATTCGGCGCTGGACTGAAGTTTTGCTTTGTGGAGTTTGGTTGGAGTTTGTTTGATAGTAAGAATGGCTGCTGTCAGTATGAAGATTCAAAAATTTACCGGAAGAAAAAGTTTCAGTTTGTGGCAGATCAAGATGCAAGCACTGTTGAAACAACAGGGTTTGTGGGCTCCGTTCTCTGGAAAATCGAAGAAGGAAAGTATAGATGAAGAAGAGTGGATTACTTTGGAGGAGAAAGCTCACTCTACAATCTTGCTTTGTTTGGTTGATGACATCATCACTGAGGTTGCTGATGAAAAGACTGTCGCGGGCTTGTGGTTGAAGCTTGAAAGTCTATACATGACAAAGTCTTTTACCAATAAGTTGCATATGAAGCAACGTTTGTTCAGTTTGCATATGGAGGAAGGTATGTCTCTTAGGAATCATCTAGATCAACTCAATACTATCTTGTTAGATCTGCGGAATATTGATGTTAAAATAGGTGATGAAGATGCTGCTTTAATTCTGTTAGTATCTTTGCCACAGTCATATGAGAATTTTGTGGATTCTTGTATTGCTGGGAAAGATAGTTTGTTTTTGGAAGATGTCATATCTGCTCTACATACTAGGGAGGTTCGACATAAGGCGTCTGGTTCAGGTTTGCAAAATTAGGCATCTGGGTTGTCTGCTACGAGTAGTAGGAGACAACAATACGGTAATAAGAAGGCGAATATAAATTCAAATTCTGTTGGTTTGAAGGATGATATCTGTCATTACTATAAGGAGAAAGGGCATTGGAAATTTGATTGTCCTATGCTAAAGAAATATCAGGAGAAGAAGGAATCATCTGCTGCTGTGGCGGAAGAAACTAACTATGATTCTGAAGATGGTTTAGCCTTAACAGTGAATGAACATGTACATCATCAGGATGTGTGGTATTTAGATACTGCAGCTGATTATCATATGTGTCCAATTAGGGAGTGTTTTTCAACTTATGAGCAGATAGATAGAGGACATGTTTCTATGGCCAATGGTGCTATCTGTAAGATTGTTGGAAGAGGCTCCGTCAGGATGTAGACACATGATGGTTCTGTTCGCACCTTGAACAATGTTATACATATTCCAGAGATGACTAAGAATCTGATATCTTTGACTCTTCTAGACAACAAGGGTTTCAGTTTCAAAGGTGAAGGTGGAGTGTTGTCTGTCTATAAGGGTTCTAAGGTGATTTTGAAAGGTGTCAAATAGGGTGCCTTGTATAGTCTACAAGGTTCTGTTTTGACATGTTATGTTGGTGATAAGTGCACCAAGCTTGTTTTGAATGGCAAGTCTGAGCATGGGTTGGACTTGCCAATTGGTTTGAGTTGTTGACCGCCCTTAGGGGCATTTGGAGGCAGGGGAGATTCTGGTACAACTGATTTGGAATATCGATTGCACGCTTCTGTTCTGACATACATAATATTTGTGTATTAGACAAATATAATTGTATGTTAACTTTCTTTACAAAGTGTAGAGGTTCCAAAGTATATCATTTTACAGTGACACATAATTTATATTTGAAATCGGTCTCCAAAATAGTAATGACTATTTCATAAATTCAATACTAACCATTCTTTACTTTATCTTCGTAAATCCAATATTTTTCAATAAGATTTTTCAATAATAGAATTATGAGAGACAAACATGATGAGGTTCTTAATAGTTCAAGCAAATCTGGTTCTAGCGTCAAAAGAAGCAGATTAAGTTCCACCACGAGCTCGTCTTTTACAATCTATCAAGGAGACAACTGTAGATAAATGTTCGTAGGGAATCTTTTCACATAAGAAAACTATGGAGATTGAATGGGTGACAAAATATATTTTCACATAATAAAGAGCAAGCTCGAAATCAATCAATCGTCATCATACTCATAATCAATCAATCATATACTAAAAATACAATCTACAAAGTAATGAAAGTCAATTTTGCACATTTCCCTAACCCTTCATCCTCTTCATTCCACCCTTCAGCTCAGAGTCGATCGGCTTAGAATCAGGCCGCCTTTTCTCCAATCTTCGTACTCGCATTCCCTCCTGGCGACACGTCGTTGATAAAACCCGAGAAGAAGATCCCACTGTGGTCCTTGCCTCGCTCCCAGTGACACGCTAAAACACAACACCAAACTGCGACCAAGTGTAATCGCACTCCTGAAATGCAGTAAAGTGACAAGCTCTATTTGTCAACCCGGGGTCTAGATCTACTGCCTACTCCGTGATTATCTATTATCTAGCAAACTAAGTCGAGTGATTGTGATTTTAACTAAAAGCAGTAAGAAAGCAGGAAATGGTTCAAAGTTCTTTAGCAAGGGAAGAGTCACTTGGGAATGTGTCACCCTAGCTCCTTAGTTAGGTCAAGGTTGTAATTACCATTGGTTGATTAACTGCTGATTAAACTGCGGAAGGTCCGACAGTAGCTTGGAATCTCTTAAGCTGACCAAGCCCTCTCAGGCAGACTAACCGGCAGGCGACTAGCCTTCACCTGAATAGGCTGTTGAGGTAATAAAGGCAGAACTCCACTACTGGAATTAGATTCCAGTACAAAGCAGTAAATCGATTAACTCTCGTATAACAAATCTACCACTACCGATTGATGAAGCTCTAACAACCTAATCAGATTCTATCTATCTCAGGTTGTAGCAGAAATCAAGAAAAG